AAGATAATTTTACGATGCTCCAATCTTTAAAGGCAAAGGTAACCCACTTGCTCCTCCGTGTAATTGTGACATGTAAATAAGATAAACTAGATATAGAATCCACGAAAAATAGGTGGTGGGTTTTCTATAATACAGTTTTGGAATTAATACTCATATCATGTATCAATTGGTAGATGACATATTCTTATTTTGTGATGCAGATCGAACTTTGAAAGCATATATTATCTTTTGTGGATTGCACTGGAAACTAGCAGTTCACATGGTCTTGTGCCTTATCTAGACATAATCTCTCCATCTCCTTAATTCGTAATTTTGAGGTCATATATGATCAAATTACGTCATCTCAATATACGCATCGAGTCAAGCGAGCGAGTCAAGCGTTTGCACACTTTGTTGGAATATAAGAATTTGTCTCCAATTATTCGATACTTATGCCTAGTTATCCATATGAATCAATTCGGGTCAAAATCCGGGACTGATTTAATAACTTTCCGAATTAAAATCTCATAAATTTTAAAAAAATTAAATATAAGTTATTAGTAGTGATTTATCCATTCATACTCTCATATTTTCATTCTGATGTGAAATATCAAATATGCATAAGCATAAGAACTTTGCCTATAAATAAAGGTGCACACTAATGCTAGAACCATCAATTTCAAGCCCCATTAACCAACCAATTTCTACTGCTCTCATCGATGATTCCAAGTTTCCAACTACTTCCCTATCCTGCTCCAATCAGTGTGTGCCCATACCAGTCGCTGTGGGGAGAAGAGTTTTAGGTGGCATCTAAAAAGGAAAAATAATTAGAATATCCTTCAATTTAATACACTCATTAATACTCACCGGTTCAGTTATTAAAATATGAAGGATGTTGATTGGTGCACATCTAGTTCATCACCGCCGCTCACACACTGTTTAAGAAATTAATATCCCATAATTTTGAAATTAGTTACTAAATAGCTTAATCTCATTGCCATTCATACGACATTGTTTTATTTGTGTTTCCAAACATACTAATTTTATAGTAGCTTGACAAAGGGCATCCTCTACTTTTTTAAGCTTTCTCCAAAATTGTGAAAAGAGACCCCGATGTGTACTTGATCGCAAAGAAGTAAATACCGTACCAATCGGTACGTATCGGTTTTTAGAGTAGGCCGAAATGGAGTAAGAATGAATTTCGTTTCGGTCAAAATTCGGTAATTTCAGTCAAATTTTGATGTATCGGCCGAAATTTCAACATATCGACTGGTACACCGAAATTTAACCGGTACAATATGCAAGAATTAAAATAAAAAAAAAAAGATTTCCTAGCCAAAACGACGTCATTTTGGCCAGCCCTACAATTTTGATCGTGCAAATCCTCCTCTGTTCTTGTGTCCAGCTGTCTTGACTTGTCAATCTCTATTTTTTGTTACAGTTGCCCGCTACAATTCAAATCAATTCAAATTTAAAAAGGGCAAATTTCATTTTTAGTCCTCAACTTTAATATTTTATATAATTTTCATC